TTTACAACCCCTCCTTCCTCAGGTTCTCCAGGGCACCGGCCAAAAACTCGGATTTTGTGGACCAAAACTCTTAAAACACCGTAATATCTTACGTTTGCTAAACCGAGTCTGTTTAGCCACGTTAATTTGTTTAAAGCAGTGTTTCTCAACCTTGGCAATTTTAAGAACTTCAGCTCCCAGAATTCTGTATGCTGACTGGAGAATTCTGAGAGTTTGAAGTCTACCCATCTTAAAAGTGGCTATGCTCGAGAAACACTGGACTTCATTGGTTGGTTTTGATTAGTTCTTTTGTGAAACACTTTCTCTCTGTTTTCTGCTTTCTCTTATTAGCCGTGTGGTGCAGATTATTTCCTGCTTGAAATCTGATCATTCGTGAAGTGCATTTGAATTGAGCTTGGCCTCCTTCTTTTGCTGCATGCATTCTGTTGTTATTGTGACACTTTTTTTAAAAATGTGCTGTTCTTCCAGCACAAAGATTCGCTCATCCCTTATCTTCTCCGGCTACTGAGGGGTCTTCCCAAAGTGCAATGGATCGAAGAAAGCAATTCACGGAAAGGCCGAGGTGACTTTTTAAACTTTTCTGTGGGGAGGGAGGAGAATTTAGCCAGACTTTAGGCTTAGGCCAGTGATTCTCAACCTTGGCAACTTTAAGATGTATGGACTTCAACTCCCAGAATTCCGCAGGCTGCCTGGGGAATTCTGGGAGTTGAAGCCCAGACATATTAAAGTCGCTATGGGTGAGAACCACTGGCTTAGAGCAGTGGATCTCTGGAGTGTGTTTGTCTGGCTAATGGCAATCCTATTCCATTAATTACCAAACTTATAGGCATCCTTCCAGTCCCAGAAAACTTCAGCTTCTGTTTGGTGACCTTGCTGTCCGATGTTGCCTACAGAGATGCGTCCTTAAGAGAACAGGTAAGACTGGTGGAATTCAACGCATTGACCGTTAACTTATTTTTTCCTACCATTCTAAAGATTAAAATGCAAACAAACCTTGCTTAACGACCACTCGTTCAGCATCTGTTCTCGATGAAGGCACTGAACAAGTGGTACTCATGACCTGTCCTTGAAGTTCCGGCCGTCACAGCACACACATACATACACCTAGTCATGTGACTGCGATTCATCACTCGGCAACTGGCCCGCATTTCTGATGCTCACAACATCCCACGATTTACCATCTTTCCTGCTGGCTTCCCCTATGCAAAGTGAATGGGAAAGCCGGCAGGAAGTCGGAAGTCACAGTCAGATGTGAGGTCCTCACTTAATGACCAATGGTGATTTGCTGAAGAACTACCAGAACTGCCATCGCTAAGTGGTGCAGTCACCCAAAGTTATACTTTATAACCGCATTGCTTAGCGACAGAAATTCCGGTCACAATTACTATCATTAAGTGAGGACCGTATCTTTGTCCTTGTTGTATTAGTCAAGCAGAGGACATTCGTTTATAACGAGATAAGGACCAAATTATTATTGGTGAATAAACTCAAGGACTCTGACCTCAAACAGTTAAACTCTCTCTTTTTGTCAACATATTTTCAACAGTCAGGTGCTTAGAAGAATAAAAGGAAATATTTAAGGTCTTAATTATACATCTGGCTTTATCTTGTTTCTGCCTTCTGACATTTAATACTAGTACTTCATTCTGTAATCTTACATTACTGCAAATATTTTGTAATTTTATGCCATCCTCTCTTGTTACGACCCATGGTTACAACGTTAAAACTGTTTACGTAATGTTAATTCTAACCTTGGATTTTTATTTTTTAATGGCCGGCCTTTATCGTTACAGGTTTTAGAGGCAATTTTGCAAGTGATGCAGGTTCTCTTGGGGATGTGTCAGTCTCCACAGATCCAGGATAAAGGTAAGCAAGATATGTATCAGATTTTGGCTTAATGTCATAGTTCCGACAGATGAGACTCTTCAAAGAATTTTGAGGCATTGTTTACCTTAAAGAATCTTTATTCGAATAGCATAACACACAGAGACACACATAACACAGAGAAACAACACAGTCTAGTTCGGATACATGTCTAGAAAAAAGAATCCTGCGAAGGAACAAGACGGATGGCACAAGGAGCAAAGCTGTCCTATTAATAGAAACGTTCTATTGGATGAGGTAGACAAACACGGCAACTTCTTGTTTTCCAGAATATTTGTGCAAATACGCCCTGCCTTGCCTGATCGGAATCTCCCGAGCGTTCGGTCGCTACAGCCACTCCGAAGAGGCGTTGCTCTCCAAGCTTTTCCCCAAAGTGACCCCACATTCCCGCCGGGCCCCCAGCGAACTGGAGGGGATCCGCAGGCGTTCCTTCAACGACTTCCGCTCGATCCTTCCCAACTCCCTGCTGACGGTCTGCCAAGAAGGTTCTTTAAAGAGGAAAACCAACAGCGTGTCCAGCATCTCACAGGTGGGGGTTGCCGTTCGGATAACATCTGCCTGTGTTCCCTGTTCCTGAACCCCTGGCTCCCTTTGAACTGACCAGATGTTGTTCCTATCATGGCCCTTCCAATCTAGCTGAAAAACTGGGCACGTGGCTGGGGGTGGTCTTAATCTGGAAAATTTGCCCAGTCAAAATGGTGGTCTTGTTGATGATGAGAAGTAAGTCTGTCTGGAGCAATTAAATGGTTAACGCACCAGGCTAGAAACCGGGAGACTGTGAGTTCTAGTCCTGCTTTAGGCATGGAAACCAGTTGGGTGACTTTGGGCCAGTCACCAGGAGACAGTGAATTCTAGTCTCACCTTAGGCATGAAAGCCAGCTGGGTGACTTTGGGCCAATCACCAGGAGACAGTAAGTTCTAGTTCCGTCTTAGGCATGAAAGCCAGCTGGGTGACTTTGAGCCAATCACCAGGAGACGGTAAGTTCTAGTTCCGTCTTAGGCATGAAAGCTGGCTGGGTGACTTTGGGCCAATCACCAGGAGACGGTGAGTTCTAGTCTCACCTTAGGCATGAATGCTGGCTGCGTGACTTTTGGTCGATCACCAGGAGACCGTGAGTTCTAGTCCCCCCCCTCCCTTAGCCAAAAAAGCCAGTTGGGTGACTTTGGGCCAATCACCAGGAGACGGTGATTTCTAGTCCCTCCTTAGGGACTAAGGGGAAATTAGGGGCAGTGGCCCTTCTTCAAAATATTGTAATTATCCCCTTAATTTTTCCCACCCAACTGGTAGGACAGAAGGAGGCCCAGCCCCATTGGATGGTATTTCATGCCTGCCTCTATATTTCAGGTCAGTCCTGATCGGGGGATCCCCCCGCCCGGTTCTCCAGGCGGAACGGCGATACAATATTTTGAAGGTATAAACTCTCGGCTTTGAGAGCGAAGGTGTTTCACCTCTTCGTTTTTGTCTCCGTTGCCCAAAAGAGGCTGATTACAGTTTTTCTCTCCCTTCTTTAATACGCAGGTTCCTATCTGCCTGATGGAAGCGCGGTCGATCCCGAATATTATTTCTCCAACATCAGCTCCAGTTTCTCTGTTTCGCCCCTCTTTAATGGGATTAGTAACAAGGAGTTTAACATTCCCTTAGAAATGCTTCGCCAGTTGTTGAACATGGTAAGTGAGCAGCCACGGGGAGGATAATGTAGGATAAAGTTCTTTGGAGCAGCAGGCCCCAATTTTTGCGGCTTGGCAGCCCGGCTTGTGGGGGAGAGGGGACTGAGCAGAGCTGCAGACATGCGTGCACGCTGGCCTACCTCTCTTGCACCCTGGTTCTGAATAAGGGTTGGGGACCCCTGCTTTAGAGCCAGAAAACCTTAAGATGAAATAATAAAGCTTGTAAAAACTACTAACTCTTTCCTGTTAGGTACCAAATGGTCAAAATTTGGGGGTAGAGATTACTTTTATTTATTACAAATGAACATTACCTCCAGGGCTAAGTGTGACCTTGAATCTTTCATCAAAGACCTATACAGGTAATCCTCGACTTACGAATCCAATTGGCACCAGAATTTCCATTGCTAACCAGAGCAGTTGTCGTTAAGTAAATCATGCTGTTGTTAAGTGAATCTGGCTTCCCCCATTGATTTTCCTTGTTGGAAACTGGCTGGGAAGGTTTCAAACCACATGACCCTGGGATAGTGCAACTGTCATAAGTACATGCCAGTTGCCGAGCATTTGAACTGTGATCATGTGACCAGGGGGATGATGCAACCGCCATAGTCGTAAGCCACTTTTTTCAGTGCCTTTGTAACTTTGAACCAGAGCTAAACAAATGGCTATAAAAGTCGAGGACTATCTGTCATGTGTTCACCCGCACAACCCATCTTGTGCTCGGTGTTTTGGCAAATCTTTGGATTTTACAGATGTTTATTTTCCTTCAACCGTAGATGAAACAAATCGTTGGGGATTCTGTTCTCAAAAACCTGGATGCCGTGGCAACTGAAGTTATCGAGGTAACATTAATTCTTTTACAGCGCTTTACTTTTAGTAGAAATTTTGCTAGCGCTGTTGAGAGTAGAAGCTGATGGGGGAATGTCAGTTTGAAATACAGATCAGGAACTTAAAAAGAGTCCGGACTCCAGGCTTCATTTTTAAAGAAATTTTCACCACGCAAATCGGATGCTTTCAAGTTTGCTCTTGAATTGCCCTTTCTGTTAAATGCATTACAGGCCAATCCGCACGTGGAGCTGTTCTACAAAATGTTTAGCGATCCTCTGTACGTTGCTCAGTTCAAAATGCTGCGAGACACCCTGTACCATATGAAAGGTAGGATGATTGTGTTAACAAGAAGAAACTTTAGTTAGATCATTGGTGAATAAAAGGCATTAATAAGCTTTTGACTTCCTGGTGATTTAAGAGAGTGAAAATGGCACTGGTTTTTGTGAACATTCATCTCAAAATATCTAAGGAGCCATTTCCCTGTGGAATATTCCCAGAGTCCCCGTAGCTCGTCTGTAGAAAATTGGTTTTGTATGAAGAACATTTGTCAAAGAGGAATAAAAATATTTCTGGTTTAGAAAGAAGAATTAATTAGTTTAGGATCCACCATTTCCCCCAACCTGATGCCTTTCACTGTATCCAGACATGATTTTTGACAGAATTCTACTTTTTTTGTTGTTGTTGTTCTTTTCCATTTGTTAGATCTTCCCAACACTTTTGTGAAAGAAATTCACGATTTCGTCCTGGAACAATTCAACAGCAGCCAGCCAGAGCTTCAGAAGCTCCTTCACGAGGTCGATAAATTGCACAATGAGCTGAATCCGCTGAAGTTGCGTTGCCAGGCGAACGCCGCCTGCGTGGATCTCATGGTTTGGGCTGTGAAGGATGAGCAAGGTGAGTCTTACAGAGGTAGACACCCCCGGGTTACCAACTGCCGTGTGCAACGACAATTTGACGTTCTTTTGTTCTCTTGCAAACCAGGAGCAGAAAACCTCTGCATCCGGTTGTCCGAAAAGTTGCAGTCCAAGACGTCCAGCAAAGTGATCATCGCCCACTTGCCTCTTCTGATCTGCTGCTTACAGGTGTGGTGGAGTGTGGTCTGGATTCCCAGGAGGGAGGGGTTGCTTCCCGGAGGGCAAAGAAACAACTAGGAATCGCTGGCGGGCAAGAAGAGGGCGGAGTTGGTCTCTCCCTAACACAGAGTATATTTCCGCAGTTGAATGGAAACTTTAGAACTGGTGTTAATGACCCTGTTTAATGGGCATATATACCAAATGCACAGGTATGGTATAGGTGGTGCCTTGCTCGATAGTAGCAACTGTGAGAGGGATCTTGGAGTCCTAGTGGACAGTCACTTAAATATGAGCCAGCCGTGTAATGTGTAATGTTCCGTGTCTTCTTTTTTTTTTTAATAGGGTCTCGGACGCTTGTGCGAGAGATTCCCGGTGGTGGTTCACTCGGTCAATCCGTCACTACGGGATTTCCTTGTGATCCCATCTCCAGTCCTGGTGAAATTGTACAAATATCACAGCCAGTTCCAAACAGGTATTTTGGTTTGTTCACTAAAGACGCCCTCTGAAATGGTTGTCCAATTTATTGTTCACTTTCTGTTGCTGCTTCCCGATCCATTAAGCAGCCCAGTTGGTTTTTCTTTCCTGCGTTGATGAGTTTTAAAATATTTAAGATCCAGCAGAGCGGATGCACTGAGAAAGAGCCTCTAACAGGCTGCATTTGGCTTATTTATTTATTTAAAACATTTACAGAGGCACCCATCTGTTAACCAACCCTAGCAGCTGCCAATCAAATATCCCTATCATGCTTGAGGGCTGGTCTCCCTTTTTCTCCCAAGAGGCTGCTGTGTCTATTTGTACCCTCACAAATGTTTTCAGCAGTGGGTTATACTGAAAATGACTCCGACAGCACCAACTTATTGTCCACCAAATTTTGGTGTGTTGAACAAGCCACACAGTTGGTTCTTAGTTTTAACCTGATTTCGGACACCAGGCCGAGTTGAAAGCAAATAATTTTACAGTCCATTGGCTTGGTCCAACACGTGATCTTAATTTGCGCCGCTCCTAAAATGAAAAGGTGCCTGACCCTTTCATATCCAGATGTGTCTTTGATGTGTCCAGATGTGTCTTTCAGGTGGTTGCATCGTTGTGTACAGGTAATCTTGACTTTCAGCAAGTCGTTTCAAAGCTACAACGGCACTGAAACACTTAGGACCGCTGCAGCATCTCCGTGGTCATGTGATCAAAATTTAAGGGCTCGGAAACTGACTTGTATTTATGACGGTTGCTGTCCAGTGTGTGTGTGTGTGTGTGTGTGTCATGCGATCATCTTTTGCAACCTTCTGCCAAGCAAAGTCCACGGAGAAGCCAGATTGACTTAACAACCGTGTTACTAACTTCACAATGGCAATGATTGACTTAACTGTGAGAAGAAAGGTCATCAAATGGGGGCAAAACTCACTTAACAAACGTAAATTTTGGGCTCATTTGTGGTCGTAAGACAAGGACTATCTGTAGCCCCATAGCAGCTCTACAGGACAGGGTTCCACCACCAGAACTTCCCTGTTTCTTAGGCACCAACGACATCAAGATCAGCATAACGAACGAACACGCCGAGTCGACGCTGAGCGTAATGTCGGGAAAGAAAAACGAATCCTCCATGTACGAACAGCTCCGGGACGTTGCCATTGATAACATCTGCAGGTAGGTTTTCATCTCAGGTATGCAAAGAGGTGGTCCTCTCAACCGGTTGAAAAGCCAACCGTGGCTCTTCGCGAAGAGCAGATTTTTGCCAAAGTCAAAAACTTGAGGACTACCTGCATGGATTTCTCAAGAGAGTTTGAAGGCCTGAACCTTTTGGTCAAATTATATATCTTGCAGGTGTTTGAAAGCCGGCCTGACCATCGATCCTGTCATCGTCGAAGCCTTCTTAGCCAGTTTATCTAACCGTCTCTACATTTCCCAGGAAAGCGATAAGTAAGTCACTTTAATGCTGCCACGTGGTCTCACAGCGTTGGAAGGGACCTTGGAGGTCTTCTAGTCCAACCCCCCTGTTCAAGCAGGAGATCCCTACTTCCTTCCTCAAGGCCTCATTTGGGGGGGGGGTCACCTCTTTCCTTAAAAGATACAAAATCAGCTGGTTTCAGCACAGATCCTTTAAAAAACATGGAATTGGGTATTTTTCTGCAGATAGTTCTGCAACCTAAAAGTTTCTTCTTCCTGTCCAAAGAGGGCATGTGTACATATGAGTATCTTAGGATGTCAAAAACGCCTCAGTCTGGCAATAAAATTGTTCCATTTTCTCTTCTCTCTGCTCTTCAGCAGCAGTTGAGCGGACTCCAAAAATAAATTATCTGAAGTGGAAGCAATTTGAGGTTTTCTAGGGATGTTCTGGAGATAAACCTGTTTTATCCACAGTATCAGGACCAAAACATTTCAGACTGCTTCTGCTTCCCGAAAGTCAAGTCTCCCCTGAATTGGCATGGTCTGGGAGCACATTCAGCATGATCCAGAAGAAAATAGAAGTGAAGCTTTCTGGAATATTCCATTGCTAGGTGAACACATTTTTCACAACTATTTCATTACCCAAATTAGGTACACATACATCATCAGTGCTGGACTGTTGATGTTACCTAGTTTGGGTCATGAAACGTTTGCAAGAAAACAACTAAGCTCAGAGAACGCCCAGGACCCCACAGTCCGTCCGTCCTTCCTTCCTTCCTTCCTTCCTTCCTTCCTTCCTTCCTTCCTTCCTTCCTTCCTTCCTTCCTTCCTTCCTTCCTTCCTCCCTCCTTCCCTCCCTCCCTCCCTCCCTCCCTCCCTCCCCCTCTTCATAAATTCCACTCTCTTCTAGCACTGATGAGGTTACCTAGTTGGGTAATGAAACGTTTGCAAGAAAACAACGAAGCTCAGCACCAAGGACCCCCCAGTCCTTCCTTCCTTCGTTCCTTCCTTCCGCTCTCCCTCCCTCCTTCCCTCCCTCTCTCCCTCCTCCTCTCCATAAATTCCACTCCCTTCTAGCCCTGATGATGTTACCTAGTTTGGGTAATGAAACGTTTGCAAGAAAACAAGCAAGCTCAGAGAGCACCAAGGACCCCCCAGTCCTCCTCCTCTCCACGTACGTCACTCTTTTGTAGCACTGATGATGTTTACCTGGTTGGGTAATAAAATGTCTGCAAGCAAATGACCAAATTTAGCACTGAGGACCCCACAGTCCTCCTCCTCCTCCTCTCCCCAGACCCCACTTCCTTCTAGCACTGGTGATGTTACCTAGTGGGATCATGAAACATGTGCAAGAAAAGCTCAGAGAGCATCAAAGACCTCTTACTTCAACCTTGAGCTACAAATGTTCCACTTTATTGATCAGTTTTTTGCATTGACACGCGTATAGTTTTTTGCAAATTGTGTGCCGTGTTGTTTTCTTCAGGGAAGCCCACCTCATTCCAGACCACACAATCCGTGCGCTGGGCCACATAGCAGTGGCTCTAAGAGACACCCCCAAAGTGATGGAACCCATTCTCCAGATTTTGCAGCAGAAGTTCTGCCAGCCGCCGTCTCCTCTCGACGTGCTCATCATCGACCAGCTGGGCTGCTTAGTTATCACCGGAAATGTAAGGGTGTGTCAATTGCCTGGGAAGCTGTCAATTCCAACGGTCCTTCTGGGCGGTTGATTGTCAGTGTCCGTTGAAGGCTGATCAGCTCCTTATTGCAATGGGTAGTTGCTTCATTTATCTTTGTGTGGTGTTTGTAGTTGGAATATAGTCTGGAGTCCCAGGAAGAAAGGGGTAGGAAAAGGGGTAACAGAACCTGGAGGGGCCATTAAAAGAGGAATCAGACTGGAATCCCTATGTAGCCACAAGCTTCTAGACATCTTTTAAGAGATCATGTTAGAGATTCATTTTCCATGAATAGGGTAGGGTAGGCAGGGCTTTTTTTCAGCCGGAACGCGGCGGAACGGCGTTCCGGCACCTTTTTCCGGGCCGGCCGCACCGGAAATAGCCCCTCCCACACCGGAAATAGCCCCTCCCAAATTTTACTTGCATTCCTGTTCTCTAAAGGGGCGGTCCTAGGGTTTGATGAGGGCGTGGCCAGGTTTGAGTTCCGCCACCTTTTCTCCGNTAGAATAGAATAGAATAGAATAGAATAGAATAGAATAGAATAGAATTGGAAGGGACCTTGGAGGTCTTCTAGTCCAGCCCCCTGCTCAAGCAGGAGGACCTATACCATCTCAGACAGGTGAATGTCTAGTCTCTTCTTAAAGGTCTCCAGTGATGGAGCACCATCACAGCATAATGTCAGGATTAATGCTTTGATTTGTTTTGATCGTTTGTTCCCAAGTTCCCCCCCCCCCCGCCGGCTAATTTAGCTTTTATTTTCTTATTTCCAGCAATATATTTACCAGGAGGTGTGGAATTTGTTTCAGCAGATCAGCGTGAAAGCCAGCTCCATTGTATACTCTGCCACTAAAGACTATAAAGATCACGGATACAGGTAACTTCGATTTTTTATTGCTGCGCTATTGCAGTACGTTTTTTTTTTTAATTACAGGTTGAGGTGAACCTTTGTAGACTTTTGCCCATTTCATTTTTTTTTTAAATCTGGAAACTGATGCTTCACCCAACAGTAAGAATGACTACCCAGATTTATTTTTGTTTAAATCAGATCTGATGCCACCTGGATTTATTCTATATTATTTATTTACGGGTGCGACGGCTCAGTGGGTAAAGGCGCTGAGCTTGTCAGCCAGAAAGTCGACAGCCCAGGTTTGAGATCTGAGCACCGTGCGACGGGATGAGCTCCCGTCCCTAGCTCCAGGTCCTGTCCATCTAGCAGTTTGAAAGCATGCAAATGTGAATAGATCAATAGGTACCACTTCAGTGGGAAGGTAACAGCGTTCCACGCACCTTTGGCATATACCTGTGCTGGCCGCATGACCCCGGAAAATGTCTTTGGACAACGCTGGCTCCTTTGGCTAAGAAACAGAGACGAGCACTGCCTCCTAACTGGACACAACTGGACAGAAGAAACCTTTACTTTTACCTGTATTTAGTTATTAAATTTATCTGCCACCCGTCTCGCCTGTTTTTCAAAGCTTTTCAGAGGAGTTTCAAAGTCCTTTTCCTAACCTGGCCCAATTTTGAACCCAAGAAAACGAGATAAAATGTGTCGTCAGAAAGCTAATGCTTCCGATTTTCTCTCCTTCTTCTTTTTCTCCTTCTTCCCCCCCCCCCCCTTTCCCCTGCCCTTCCTTCTGCCTTCTCATCAGACACTGTTCCTTAGCTGTTATTAATGCCCTGGCTAACATAGCTGCAAATATACAGGATGAACACCTTGTGGATGAGGTGCTGATGAACTTGTTGGAACTTTTTGTGCAGCTGGGACTGGAAGGGAAAAGGGCCAGCGAGCGGGCCAGCGAAAAAGGGCCGGCGCTGAAGGTAGGAGAGGAAGGGATAACGCGGCTTCCCAACCTTCAGAATGAAAGTCTCCCCCTATTGATTATAAATTAGATGAATTATGGATTGTTTTTATATTCGTATCGACCTATCATTATATATGTATATCCACCCGTCTCTAGGCAGCACATGGAACCAAGAAACAAAAAGCCCCAAATATTTCAAATCATTAAAAACAGTTATTAAAATTTCAATGGAAACAGTTAAATGAAAAAAAGAGCCCGTTTGGAGAATGGTAGTTGCCTTCTCCTCTTGTGGTTTCCTGCTCTCAATTGGTCTCTTGTTATCTTTCACAGGCCTCCAGCAGTGCCGGCAACCTCGGAGTGCTGATCCCTGTCATTGCTGTGGTGAGTGTTGGCTTCTTGTCCTGAGACAGTGGGTGGTTTTAAGCTGAACAAGAAGCATTGTAAAAAAAATCTGGAAATAGAATGAATAGAATAGAATAGAACAGAATAGAATAGAACAGAATAGAATATAGATGGAATGGAAGAATAGAATAGAATAGAATAGAATAGAATAGAATAGAATAGAATAGAATAGAATAGAATAGAATAGAATAGAGGAATGGAGAATAGAACAGAATAGAATAGAATAGAAATATAGAATAGAATAAGAATTTGGAGTGGAATAGAATAGAATAGAATAGAATAGAATAGAATAGAATAGAATAGAATAGAAGAATAAGAATTTGGAGTGGAGTGGAATGGAATAAAATAGAATAGAATAGAAGAATAGAATAGAATTGAATAGAATTGAATAAGAATTTGGAATGGAATGGAATAGAATAGAATAGAATAGAATAGAATAAGACTTTGGAGTGGAGTAGAATAGAACAGAATAAGAGAGGATAGAATAGGAATAGGAGAACTACCTGTATTTCAAAATCATTTTGGTGTTTGATCAGACAAGGTCTAATCTGACTTTTTTTTCTTTTTTTTTTCCAACTGCTTGTCACTCAGTAAATACAGTCCTGAGTGTTGACAGAGGTTAATGGTTACATTAAGAGGCTCTATAAAGCAAATGTTTACCTTCCTTGCAAAATTTATGATGCTCGTGAGTTCTCGGTTGCGATTGCCTCTCTCTTTTTCTTCCCCTCCTCTTTTTAAAACTCGGTGGTAAGGCTTAACGGCTGGTTAAAAAGGACAATTTGATAGCCAAGAATATCTCTGTAGCCAGTTGAACTGGCAGGGAGCCTCTTAGCAGCCATGGATCACTTGTAAGCATTTATAAAAAGGGAGGGATTTGAGGATTGGGGGAAATAACATTACAGGACAATTGCATGCTAAGTATGCAGGATGGCTAATGGTAGATTTTTTTATCATTTAGATTTTGAGGGAGAAGTATATGTCGCTCAGGATTGAAATTCTTGGTCTCTCTGAGCTTGGCTGTTTTGTTGCAGACGTTTCATTACCAAACTAGGCAAGGTCATCAGTAGCAAACTCTACACCTTTCTAGCACTGATGATGTTACCCAGTGATGGTAATCTGGTAATGCAACATCTGCAAGAAAACAACCAAGCTCAGAGGGCACCAAGGCTCTTATAGTTGTCATAGTCTTCCTCCTCCTCCTCCACTCCACAAACCCCACTCTCTTCTTGTACTGATGATGTTAGCTAGTCAGGTAGTCAAATGTCTGCAAGCAAGCCCCCAAGCCCGGGGAACACCGAGGTGTCCACAAGATGCACAGAATAAGTAATAAAGGGCGATGCTTTTTGCATATTAGCCTAAGAACCACCTTGGATCTGCCTTTTCAGCATTATTTTCTGTAGCTACTGCAAGTGGTCACCACGGCAGAATTGCCCAACATTGACGCAAGCCCGAATTAAATAATAATAATAATCAAGACCTCTTCTTGGTCGTGAAATGTTTCACATTTTTTATTAAATATAAATGAATGTTATAATCACAGTGATATTCATTGAGATAGAGCAAGTTTTATCACAAGTGCTCCTAAAAAGACTCAGAAGCCAGCTTTTGAAACTTAAACCTTCCTTCCTTCCTTCCTTCCTTCCCTCTGTTCTTTTTCTTGATATTTCCTTCCTTCCTTCCATCCTTTGATCCTTCCTCCCACCTTCCCTCTGTTCTTTTTCTTGATCCATCCTTCCTTCCTTCCTTCCTTCCTTCCTTCCTTCCTTCCTTTGGAAGATAAAGGTAATCCTCAACTTACAACAGTTCGTTTAGTGACTGCTCAAAGTTACGACAGCACGGAAAAAAGAGGCTTAGGACCATTTTTCACACTTACGACTGTCGCAGCACCCCCGTGGGCAGGTGATCAAAATTCAGATGCTTGGCAACTGATTCAGATTTATGACGGTTGCAGCGGCGTTCCTGGGGGGTCATGTGATCCCCTTTTGCACTGAGCCACTGTCTGACTAATGTAACAAATGCAGCGATTCAGTTAACCAACGGGGCAAGAAGAGTCGTAAAACGGGGCAAAGCTCGCTTAACAAATGTCTCATTTAGCAACAGAAACGTTGGACTCCCTTGTGCTCGTAAGTCGAGGACTACCTGTAGCAGCTTGGGGGGGGTGGAGAGGGGAAGGGGGGAAGCTGTGCTACTAGCACTTGTGGCTCACCTACCTCTGCCTATAAAAACTAGTAATAGTGTAAGTTAAATCCGAGTTGTCTACATGCAGTTGTCCCAAGATTGTGATTCTACGGCTTAATGCTTGCTGGGGTCAGAAACTCTCCCCATGAAGAGCAGGGAGCTGGTACGATGTTCGTAGATCAGGAAGAGGAAGGGGTGATCAGCGACGAAACGGATCTGAGCTGAGAGGGGCATAAAGCCCACGGTGGTCATGGAGGCAGCCTCGGTCCCTTCTTCGTTCACCGTAATCGTCCCTTGATGATTAAACTGTCGAAACGGGAGATTAACATTCAGAAGTAGCATAGAAGAAGGTGGGGAAGGTGACTGAGCTGGAAACCAGGAGACTGGGAGTTCTGGTCCAGCCATAGGCATGAAACCCCAGCAAGCGTTAAGCAGACTCTTGAGTTCTCGTCCCGCCTTAGGTACCAAAGCCAACTAGGCGACTTTGGGCCAATCATCAGGAGACTGGGAGTTCTAGTCCCACCTTACACATGAAAGACAGCTGGGTGACTTTGGGCCAATTACCAGGAGATTGGGAGTTCTAGTCCCGCCTTACACATGAAAGTTGGCTGAGTAACTGGATCAATTACCAGGAGACTGGGAGTTCTAGTCCCACTTTAGGCATGAAAGCCGGCTAGGTGCGCCAATCACTAGGGGATTGGGAGTTCTAGTCCTGCCTTAGGCATGAAAGTTGGCTGGATGACTTTGGGCCAATCACCAAGAGACTCTGAGTTCTCATCCTTCCTTAGGTACCAAAGCCGACTGGGCGACTTTGGGCCAATCACCAGGAGACTGGGAGTTCTAGTCCCGCCTTAGGCATGAAAGCCAGCTAAGTGACTTTGGGCCAGTCCCTCCCTCTCTCAGCTCAACCCACCTCAGAGGGGGGGGGGTTGTTGTGGGGAAAAGAGGGGGAGGCTGCTTTGAGGTATTTATAAAAGAGTAAAACTGGCCTAAATACCAAATAAATAGGAAAATAAAAAAAAACCCTTATATCTGGGGTGCTGCAGCTCTGCCATGTACCTGAACACTGAAGTGCCCAGTCGTTTGCCAAAGCGGCTTATAATTAAATCTGCTTTTTCCTGCCCATCTTTTCTCTCTCTTAAACGTCCTCTCCCTTTTCTCTGTGTCCACCTTTCGCTCCTTTTTTTCCCGACCTATCCATCCCCAAAATTAGGTAACGTTTCCGTTAGCTTCCTCCTGGCCACGGCCCCTAAACCTAAACTAGCCCGAACGGAATAATCCTCCTCCGTCTCCTGCCCAAAGTTTAAAAAAAAAATAAATCTGTCGAGTTTTAATTTGCGCCAACGCTGAGTTACCTTATTGATGGTGATCCTTTCCTCCGAGATGCCCGAGTAGTTGCCGCGCTGGGTGAACAGCTCCCCGATCCCCATCGCTTTCAGATTTTCAATCAAGTCGTAGTTCTTCTCCAGCTTAAATCTGGGCATCACCACTTCTCGAGTTCTGGAGAGAGAATTAGGAGTGAAACCAGAATGGATGCAAGCCATTGCAGCGCTTATTAAGTCTTTTGAGGATTATTTGTTTGACTCCCGGCGATCCATTGCTAGCGTGCAACCCACCGTGGCTCCACTTCAAGGCCAACTACAGCCAGAAGTTAACACAATGGCACTGAAAAAAGGGACTCAATTGACTTTCGTGACTAAGGCGGGACTAGAACTCACAGTCTCCTGGTGATTGGCCCAAAAGTCCCCCGGTTGGCTTTCATGCTTAAGCCGGGACTAGAACTCACCATCTCCTGGTGATTGGCTCAATGTCCCCCAGCTGGCTTTCATGCCTAAGGCAGAACTAGAACTCACCATCTCCTGGTGATTGGCCCAAAAGTCCCCCAGTTGGCTTTCATGCTTAAGCCGGGACTAGAACTCACCATCTCCTGGTGATTGGCCCAAAGTCCCCCAGCTGGGTTTCATGCCTAAGGCGGGACTAAAACTCCCAGTTTCCTGGTGATTGGCCCAAAGTCATCCAGCTGGCTTTCACACCTAAGACGGAACTAGAACTCACAGTGTTTTGCTTTCTAAGCTGATACCTTAACCCCCAGACCGTAATCATCATTTTAGATCGGAATCAGAGAGTGTGAGATACTTAAGTCAGTGGAGGATATCCGTCAGTGATAGGATACCTGTTGGTCATGCTCTTCTGCCATCTCTCCACCACCTGGGGGCTCAGCTGGTTCTCCAGACCCTTCAGACCCGCCAGCTTGTAGGGAAGCACAATCAACATGCTGATGTTACCCACGTAGGGCAGTTGCAACACCCTGCAGTCCAGCTCGTTGTCTTCAGTGGCCAGGAAGCTGGCTTTGATCTTCATCATAGGGACCTTGACCGTCTCCTTCTCGTTCAGCCGAAAGGTCTGCTTGTGGGTCATCTCCACCGGAAACTTGTTTTCCCAGGTTCCTGGGAACACAAACGAAAACACCAGGCCGTAATTCTTTTCCCGGGGCCAATCGTGTTTAGCTGCATCGCTTCCTTCTATGAGTAGTCCTCGGCTTAACGGCTGCAGTTGAGCCCATTTCTGTTGCTAAGCGAAAACCCTTGTTACGTTTGGCCCCGCTTTATGATCTTGCCATCATTGTTAAGAGAATCCCTGCAGTTGTTCCGGTAGTAACACGGTTGTAAAATGAATCTGGCTTCCCCATTGTCAAAAGGTCGCAAAAGGGGGTCACGTGAACCCGGGAGCACGGCAGCCATCCTCTGAATTTTGATCACGTGACCACGGGGAGTGCTGCAACGGTCACAAGTGCGAAAAACGATCATAAGTCACTTCTTAGTGCCACCGTAACTTCGAACAGTCACTAAACAAACTGTCATAAGTCGAGGACTACCTAATTTTAAAGGGAGGTTAGTGATCACAGAGACATACGCTGTACAGGTAGTCTTTGACTTACAACAGTCCGTTTAATGACCATGCAAAGTTACAACGGCACTGAAAAAAGTAACTTAGGACCCTTTTTCACCCTTACAACTTTTGCATTATCCCCATGGTCACAGGATCAAAATTTGGACTCCGAAAAACTGACCCACCTTTTTAAGGATGGTCGTAGCATCCCAGGGTCACGTGATCCCCCTTTTTTTGCGACCTTCCGACGAACAAAGTCAACGGGGGAAGCCACGTTCACTTAACAACCGTGTTACTAACTTAACATCTACAGTGATTGACTTAAAGGTGGCACAAAAGGTCGTAAAATGGGGCAAAATTCATTTAACCAATGTTTTATTTAGCAACCCAAATTTGGGGCTCGTATAAGATACAATCAGGGATATTCTTTCTATGTTATTCTTTCTGTGATCACCTGTACCCATCCAATCAAGCCCAAAGAAAGTCTGGAATGCTATAGGATCTCCTGCCACGGTAGGGGGTTGAAATAGAAGACCTCCAGGGTCCCTCCCACTCCTATTATTATTTTATGTTCTATATGTATATATATAAAACCAGCCTTTGCTGATATGTCTTGCTTTACCTTTGAAGTACAAACAATTGAGAATCATCATGAGCGTATCAGGGTGCACGTTGACGAGAGCGTCTTTAATTAAGCCTTTGGTGAGCTTTACAATCCGCTCGTTCGCTTGAGTGATGAAGGTCGGGTCAGAAAAGTCAGCCAGCTGAGGCTCGGCAAAATAGTACTTTTTCATATTGTCCTTGAACTCGTTCAGGATGGAGAATTGCCTTTGGATGTAGAGGTCATTGACTGACCTGAGGGTGTAGCCAAAATTTCTCCGGAAGAGCCGATGAGTGAGTTTGAGGAAGAGGTTGTGAAAAGTCAAGTAGTCATAGGTGGAACTGGAATTCACGAAGTCTTCAAAACCTAGAACGTCCAAGACCTCCTCCAGGGTTTGACCTCTTAGTCCCAAGGAAACCATCGCCATGGCGGTGGAGATGCCAACCGGAGCCAAGAAGATATTGTCGGAAGAGTTGACGTGGTCCCGAAGGCTTCGGTAAAGGTTGAAGCCAAAGTAGGCGTTGAGGATGTTGAGACGTTGGATTCTGGTCTTCCCGCGGAAGAGCTCCAGCACGTTTCCTTGCTCGACGTGAGAGATGGTATCCGGAATGCTGTCAATTATATCAATATAGTCGTCGTCGTCATCTCTGAAGAGTTTGTCAAAGTCCAGGTAGTCCTCCTCCTCTTCTTCTTCCACGCTCAAGTCGTTGGTCACCGTGTTTTCTTGATGGAATTCGGGGGAGAGGTTGGTCACCTGAAGGCTTTCGTTCCTGAGAAGGCTACGAGGATGGAGGGATTGGGCCTCCCCGCCCACTTGTTCGAAGTGCTCGTGAAGGTCCTTGATGCCACACCATGCCAAGGAGATGGCGAGGGAGAAGACCACCGAGCGCCAAAAGCACTTCATCGTATTTGAACTGGATACGGAGTCCTTCAAAGGAGATGCTCTTGAGCTAGACAAGAGGATTTGCAGAGGTTTACACGGTCTGAATCTGATTCTCTAGCATATGAAAATGACAATTTGGGTGCCAGGGAACGAAGTCAGCTAGATACTGTTGGGATGTTTTAATCAAGTCATTGCAACGGTGTACATTGAGTGATTTATATTCAAGAACAGATGAATGTAACAGGCTTCTGGGTCACACACTGGAGTAAGGAATGGTTTGCGTTATGCAATGTTCATAAGATACTGGATTCCCACCACAGAAATCAGCTAGAATGTATTTGAATGTGTGTAACTAGCCAGATTGGACATGGACAGAGGACTTGGTTCCAGTCTCCCTGTGATGATATGTAACCTCACACTTGTGATTTTTTCCCCCCCAAAATATGTCTCATGGGATTATTAGGAAGATAAAAGGCAGGGGAGACAGCAACACGCCCTGTGGAGTCCTTGGTATTCTCTGAGCTTGGTTTCTTGAAGACATTTCATTACCCAACTAGGTAACATCGTCAGTAACATTGTGCACTGATCATGTTACCTAGTTTGGTAATGAAACGTCTGCAAGTAAAAAAAAAATATCTATGGAGATTCTCTATCATCCAGGTCATGGCTGCCCCAAAGGTGCTTTTTTCCCCCCCAAGAGACAACTAGACTTTCTTTGTTGTTCCTTAAAGACATTTTGCTTCTCATCCAAGAAACTTCCATTCAAGAAGTGAAGAAACTTCTTGGATGACAAGCGAAATGTCTTCAAAGACAAAGAAAGTCCAGTTGCCTTTTTAAAAAATGGCACCTTCAGGTCTGCAAGAAAACAACCAAACTAGAGTCCATCAAGGACCTCACAGTTCAACTCCAAGTTCATAAATATTCTCTCCTATCAGGGTCATGCCCACCATCTTAGGTGTGAGAAAGCAATAAGGCTGCAGTTTAAGGACTAGTAGAAACAAAGCACCAGTAACGGTATAAATCTGTTGATTTCTCTTTGCAATTGGGTATGTGCGTTTATTTTTATCGTGGCGATGATTGTTTTCTCTGTGTTGTGATTGGTGGGTAGAGGGGAGACGGGCAGCATCTAAGCCTGGCAAATAAATAAAATAAAAATATAACCCTGCCTCTTCCAAGCTAAGCAGCTACACGGCTGTGATTTGGGGAGAGAACTGCACATTTATCTCTGCAATTCTTGTGTGTCTTTCAAAAGTTCCAAATTTGGGCTATCTCACTAAAAGATACCCGAGCTTTCAATCAAAAAAGTAACACGGATCTTGCCCAAATCGATATTTTGAATTCCTGAATAAGTTTTTTTTTTAAGGGCTTAAATCTCAACCAACTAGGCTGCAAAAGAGAGCCGCTCCCTATATCTGAATAGACCCTTTTGCATTTTTTTTAACTTGCGTTAAATTATAATGCTTCAGCCCGCAGTGAGGATGGGAAGCGAAGGTGATTGGAGTCTAGAGAACCAACAGATTAAAGAGGCTGATTTCTTAAGAAAGTTTTGGGTTATTTCTTTCCAAAGTGGGGGAAAAAAAATTCAGAGCAAAACCCTCAAGGAAAGCGAATTAATTCTGTACAAAAACAAGCGCCGCGGGAATTAATGTGGGTAGGGTGTTGAAATATAACAATCTCTTCTTACTCTCTGCGGTGGAAACCAATTTGCCCCCCTATTCTGCCTTTTTAGATGTCTTTCCTTCACCCCGTTTTCCGTTGCAGCCTTGCTTCCATTGTGTAAACCCACCCAGTTACGCTGAGCAGCAGTGCAGCCACAAAATAATAAGTAAAAAAATCAAGAGGTGGAATTCCACCGTCGCCCGAATATTCACGGCCACAATACGATCAGATTTAACAACAAATGGGTTGCCTTGCGCTGCAGCCATTGAATTCTCTGCCTCGGTTTCACCCTAAAAAGACTTGCGCTTGTTTTATTTTCTTAATCCACCTCCCCCCCCCCAAATAAGAAATATTCCTTACCTCTCCTGTTGACGAAGGGAAGGCTCACAAATGCCGTTGCAAGGAAGACAGGGGGGAAAATGCTTCAGGCTGAACTTTGGTGCCGCTGGGTGCTTGCTAAAGTAAACACGCTGTAAATCAATCACTCACCCTGTCAGCTAAAATCCCTGATGGGTGCTGTTTCTGCTGATTGCCTGCTCTTGTTTCTGGTTATATTCTTTTTTTTTTTTTAGATTTTTTTTAAAGACATCATTCTTTTGCAGATAGAAGCAAAGGAAGATTTTTGTCTTATATATCGTATATTCAAAATAAAGGTAGTCCTCAGCTTATGACCACAATTGAGCCCCAATTTTTTTTGGTTGCTAAGCGAGACACTGGTTAAGTGAGTTTTGCCCCATTTTACACCCTTCTTGTTAAGCGAATCGCTGCAGTTGCTAAGCTAGCAACCCGGTTGTGAAGTGAATCTGGCTGTTGTAACTTCGAACGTTCACTAAACAAACTATTGTTAAGTCGAGGACTGCCGCTGTGTCTTTACAGATTAATCCGTGGTTAAGATTGGTATCTTGTTTTTTTAGAAACTCGTATATCATAAAGGTGTTTTATCGTAATAGTTTTGATCCCCTTCCGTGTGAACAGCTGGAAGTCAATCCTGATTCCAGCAGTAACAGAATAACAGAGTTGGAAGGGGCCTTGGAGGTCTTCTAGTCCAACCCCCTGTTCAGGCAGGAAACCCTATACCATTTCAGACAAATGGCTGTCCAGTCTCTTCTTAAAAATCTCCAGTGATGGAGCACCCACCGCTTCTGCAGTAAATATCTCTAATGTTTGGGTACTATGGGGTGTGTGTGTTGTGATAGTTCTCCACGGGCTTGCCAATTCTTTTTTTTTAAACAGTTGAGCCTAAGACAAAGAGTTTATACCATTTGTCATGAAAGATGTGTGATTGGCTAGACCGCAGTAATTGTTAGGCTGTCATATCTGAAGATGATTTTACTCTCTTAAGCTGTAGAAGCCAAGATGGGTAGGAGCAACTGATCAATCAAATCAATTTATTATTCCATTTTTATTGGCAGCTAGCAAAGTTTGGTTTGTCCCCTTCTGTAAACCCAACATTTAAAACATGTTGTTTTGTTTCGTTGCCAGCTCACCAGACGCTTGCCACCGATCAAGGAAGCCAAACCACGATTGCAAAAACTCTTCCGCGACTTCTGGCTGTATTCGGTGCTGATGGGCTTTGCCGTGGAAGGGTCAGGTAAATCTCAAGTTTTCATCTGAACTGTCACAAAGAAAGGAGAATTTTGATGGGAGTAGGAGAAATTCGATGGACTAACTGCCCTGTGTCATGTTTAAAAGAGCTTCATCGGTTTTGAAGAACTTTACAGGACAATTCCGCCAACATGTTCGGCTTGATTGTAATTGCATATTATTGTAAATATTGTAATACAATCATTAACATTGGAAAGTAAGACCTAAGTCCGAAGGAACCAGAAAAAGAGCATTTTTCTTCTTGAATCTGAAACAGCTTGAGACTTGTGCTGTTTTTCCAGCCTTGAGAATGATGTTGGAAATAATCTGCTCCAAGTCATTGGAAATCAGTCATTGGAAATCAGTGCTTTGTTTAAACTGTGGTTTCGTAAGAAGCCTAGGCAAGAACATAGCAGTTTGATGGGGGCTTGTTCATAGCCTGACACAAGTTTTACTAGGCTCCAGTGTTGATAAAAAAAAAAAATGCTCCAGATGACCTGGAGGCCAACTGAACTAGTCCAGAAATAATATTTACCATTCTTTGGCTTTTCCTTTTCTCCAAATGTCATTCCAGGTCTTTGGCCCGAAGAGTGGTACGAGGGTGTTTGTGAGATTGCCACCAAGTCGCCTCTCTTGACTTTTCCCACCAAAGAGCCCCTTCGCTCTGTCCTTCAGTATAACTCTGCCATGAAAAACGACACCGTCACTTCCGTAAGTCCCTTTTCCTCCATCATCGTTCCTTCCTTGCTCCGCTGGTGATGTGCAGTACAGGTGAACAAACGCTGATTAAAAACATAAATATTGTGGGCAATTCCAATAAATAGATGGATGGATGGATGGATGGATGGATGGATGGATGGATGGATGGATGGATGGATGGATAGATAGATAGATAGATAGATAGATAGATAGATAGATAGATAGATAGATAGATAGATAGATAGATAGATAGATAGATAGATAAAAAGTGTCCACGATAGAGACCTAAAACAAGATGAATTGATGACATCAGCAAGTATGGCGGGCCCAATTGGCAAATTGGATGGATGGATGGATGGGATAGGAAGGAGGGAAGGAAAGGAAGGAAGGAAGGAAGGAGAAAAAGAACAAAACAAGAAAGGAAGACAGACAGAAAGAAAGAAGAAAAAGAAAAACGGAAGAAAGAAAAACAAAGGAAAGAAAGAAAAAGAAAAAAAACAACAAAGGAAAGAAAGAAAGAAAAAATAGAAAGGAAAGAAAGAGAAAGAAAGAAGGAAAGAAAGAAAGAAAGAAAGAAAGAAAGAAAATAATTATAATTAGAGCTCCAGGGCTGGTGCTTATAAGTTAAGCATTCCAGGGAGATTCTTCATTTTGATTAACAGCCTTTATCCTGACATGTGTCAAGTGTGATTATCCAGCATCAGCATTCTTGCTCCTGGCCACTTCTGAGCCTTCCAACGCCATGTTTGTCTTCTCCCTGGGATCCACTTTCCAAATATTTGAGCAGCGTCCTCGCGTTGCCAAATGCTTTGATGTTTCTCGCGTTGAATTCTCGTGGTTTGAAAGAGAGAAGCGATGCCTTCCTGCAGCGGTTGTTCAAACCCGCTTCTCAGCCAAGCCTTATTGCGCTCCGTGGAATTTACTTATTCATTTTTATTTATTCATTTTGTAAAATTTATCTTACCTCAGGGTAGCTCTTGTGGGTACATTGAGAGAGTCTTGTGCTTGTCAAGAACACGGACAGCTTTAAGGGGGCTAATAAAGGAACACCTGCCGGAAACAGCTACCCAAACAAATTGCTTGCTTGTTTTTTGTTTTTGTTTTTTTGTTGTTTTTTTTTAAATTTCCACTAGGCTGAACTGAATGAATTGAGGAGCACCATCATAAATCTTCTGGATCCGCCTCCTGAAGTGTCAGCCCTGATCAATAAATTGGACTTCGCCATGTCTACCTATTTGCTTTCCGTATATCGTCTGGAATGCATGAGGTATTTCTTTAAATAATCCTCTAGAGTTACAGAGTATAGATAGATAGATAGATGTTAGAAATATAAATAGATAGTAGATAGATAGATAGATAGATAGATAGATAGATAGATAGATAGATAGATAGATAGATAGATAGATAGATNAGATAGATAGATTTTAGAAAGATAGATAGATAGATGTTAGAAAGATAGATAGATTTTAGAAAGATAGATAGATAGATAGATAGATAGATAGATTTTAGAAAGATAGATAGATGTTAGAAAGATAGATAGATTTTAGAAAGATAGATAGATAGATAGATAGATAGATAGATAGATAGATAGATAGATTTTAGATAGATAGATAGATGTTAGAAAGATAGATAGATAGATAGATAGATAGATAGATAGATAGATAGATTTTAGAAAGATAGATAGATGTTAGAAAGATAGATAGATTTTAGAAAGATAGATAGATAGATAGATAGATAGATAGATTTTAGAAAGATAGATAGATAGATGTTAGAAAGATAGATAGATTTTAGAAAGATAGATAGATAGATAGATAGATAGATAGATAGATTTTAGAAAGATAGATAGATGTTAGAAAGATAGATAGATTTTAGAAAGATAGATAGATAGATAGATAGATAGATAGATAGATAGATAGATAGATAGATAGATAGATAGATAGATAGATTTTAGATAGATAGATAGATGTTAGAAAGATAGATAGATAGATAGATAGATAGATAGATAGATAGATAGATAGATAGATAGATAGATAGATAGATAAAAGAAAGATAGACAGACAGACAGATGATAGACAGACAGACAGACAGATGTATAAAAAATTCTTTTTCAATTGTATCTTGGCGAAATTAATTCCTGATTGCTGGTCTGCTAGGGTCCTACGTTCAACAGACCCAGATCGTTTCCAAGTGATGTTTTATTACTTTGAGGATAAAGCTATTCAGAAAGACAAATCAGGTAAGGCTATTCAGATTCTACGATCCTTAAATCCGATGGGCACCTGTGCGAAACTCTTGCAGAATAAACACATTGTTCAAAGCAATCTCATGATGTGATTTTTGCATAATTGCCTGGAAGTAAATAAGCAAGCAAAAACTTGGGTTTTTACAACTTATGAGAGATGCTATCTGCTGGGCACAATTTTCAGCTGCCTGAGTCATTTCGTTTGATTAAACACGCTGCTGCTTCCTCTCTTTCAGGTATGATGCAGTGTGTGATAGCCGTCGCAGACAAGGTGTTTGAAGCTTTCCTTAGCATGATGGCAGACAAAGTAAGTTTGTCAAACGGGAATGTGCACTGTGGTTGTCATTTGGCTCAACCATCCGGTGTGTTTGCTGGCATCTCTTTAGTTCTGGGTTTCACAGGCCTCTGATATTCCAAATTAATTTCTCTACCCTTGCTTAGAGATATTGGAGCCGCTACATGGCAGGTTTTTAAATAGACAGATAGCAATAGCAATGGCACTTAGACTTATATACCGCTTCATTGTATTGATTAAAAAAAAAAATCCCCAAACCCTAATAAGGGACTTTCATGGTCCTTCTTTTGATCTTTAGCCTAAAACGAAAGAAAATGAAGAAGAGCTGGAAAGACACGCTCAGTTCTTGCTGGTCAACTTTAACCACATTCATAAGCGAATAAGACGAGTTGCAGATAAATACTTATCGGGTCTTGTAGACAAGTAAGTACGTGGCAGTGACTTGAGTGCAGACCAGGTTTTATGCCTTCGACTTCTGGAACGGCTTGCCTTCAGAGGTTGTGGGTGCTCCAACACTGGAGATTTTTAAAAAGAGATTGGACAACCATTTGTCTGAAATGGTATAGGATCTCCTGCTTGAGCAAGGGGTTGGACTAGAAGATCTCCAAGGTCCCTTCCAACTCTGTGATTCTGTATTAATCTTTCTCAACCTTAGCAACTTAAGATGTGTGGATTTTAACTCCCAGAATTCCCCAGCCAGCATGTAGAGAAATTATACAGAGATGGATGGATGGATGATGGCTGGGTGGAGGGAGGAAGATAGATAATAGAGATAGATAGATAGATGGATGGATGGATGGATGGATGGATGGATGGATGGATGGATGGATGGATGGATGGATGGATGGATGGATGATGGATGGGTGGGTGGAGGGAGGGAGGAAGATAAATAATAGAGAGATAGATGGATGGATGGATGATGGCTGGGTGGAGGGAGGGAGATAGATAATAGAGATAGATAGATAGATAGATAGATGGATAGATGGATCGATGGATCGATGGATGATGGCTGGGTGGAGGGAGGGAGGAAGATAATATAGATAGATAGATAGATAGATAGATAGATAGATAGATAGATAGATAGATAGATAGATAGATAGATAGATAGATAGATAGATACAGATAGACAGATTCAACAAATTAAGCAGCCAATTCTTTAGTTCACCAGCAAGAAATTCCTTGATTCCTTTAATGTTGGACTAAGATTTAAATTAGTCAATCCGCTGCTAACAAATGGCTGGATACACTTGTCTCCCAGGTCCGGATATTTTTGTACAGACTTGTAACTTTTGGTTTGTTCTTTTGAAGGTTTCCTCACTTACTTTGGAGCGGAACGGTGCTGAAGACCATGCTAGATATCCTCCAGACTCTCTCCCTCTCTCTCAGTGCAGTAAGTGCTTCTCCAGCAATGGCAAGCCAGATAAAATCGCAGCTGGCCTTGCTTAAAAAAGGGGGAAAAAAGGTCTTTTTTTCTTGTCGTACGAATGAAATGGCAGTCTGCAGCTCTCATAAAATAGCTTAAGAATCTTTATATTTTTTTGAACGGTGGCACAATCACTTCACCCGATTTGTGTGAGCACCCCTCTTCCTCAATTAGGAAATTGGTTTTCTCTTTGGGAATCATTTTGGAATAATGTTGCTCTGTTTCCTTTCTGTTTTAGGACATCCATAAGGACCAACCGTATTACGACATTCCAGATGCCCCCTATAGAATTACTGTCCCGGATACCTATGAAGCTAGAGAGGTAAAATGGAATACAAATGTTGCACATCTGGATTTGCCCGTTATCTTAAGCCACGGTTTGCTTCGTTACAATAACCGTTTGTTAGATTAACAGAACATGCCGTCCCATGGCCTTTATTTTATATACCACAGGGGCAGGATGTGGAGGGGAAAAAATGGTCTTCTCTATACTTTTCTCTTCCCCTCGTCCTATATTCCATTCTATGTGCAGAGATAAACTATTATACCCGTATAATATCTGGGCTGAAGAAATCCAGATGACCACTCAATGGCAGAAAAGCCTAACCCTTTGCCACCATCTAAACACCATCTGAATTTTTTGCAGCTGGGTGTCTCTCTCTCAAACCCTAAGAGAAGGCAAGAATAAACCATTTCTAAAAACATTGCAAATCTGGCTGGATTTGCCCCATTAGTCGCCAAATGACTCTCAGAAACCAAGGCACTTTTTCCCAGTGAGATATTTAGAATAGAATAGAATAGAATAGAATAGAATAGAATAGAATAGAATAGAATAGAATAGAATAGAATAGAACCTGGAAGGGGCCTTGGAGGTCTTCTAGTCCAGCCCCCTGCTCAAGCAGGAGAACCTATACCATCTCAGACAGGTGACTGTCCAGTCTCTTCTTAAAGATCTCCAGTGATGGGGCACCCACAATTTCTGGGGGGAAGCTGTTCCACTGGTTGATTGTCCTCACTGTCAGGAAGTTTCTCCTTAATTCCAGGTTGCTTCTCTCCTTGATCAGTTTCCAACCATTGTGTCTTGTCCTGCCCTCTGGTGCTTTGGTGAACAACCTGACCCCTTCTGTCTTGTGGCAGCCCCTCAGATATTGGAACACTGCTATCATGTCTCCCCTATTTCTTCTTTTCTTTAGACTAGCAGCCGTTCTTCATCTGTTTTGGTCTCCAGGCCTTGGATCATCTTAGTTGCTCTTCTCTGCTCTTAGTTGCTTTATTATACTTTTTCAGTCAAGCACGTGCATTGCCTTACTAGCTGACCTGACCGTATTTTTCTCTTCCTAGAGCATCGTTAAAGATTTTGCCGCCCGGTGCGGCATGATCCTCCAAGAAGCCATGAAATGGGCACCTTCAGTCACCAAATCTCACCTGCAGGTAGATCTTCCACATCCCTGTTGTCTTTCAGACCGCAAGGCATCTTGGAAAGTGGGGAGCCTGGCCAGGGGAAAATCTGCGGAGCAAAGCAAAACACACACACACAGACCGACACACAGACTCAGCGGCACCAGCTTTTTCTGAATTGTGGTTCTTGACTTCCTTTTTTTAATTTTCCCCAGGAATATTTGAACAAGCACCAGAACTGGGTATCAGGCTTGTCACAGCACACAGGGTTGGCTATGGCAACCGAGAGCATTCTCCACTTTGCAGGCTACAACAGGCAAAACACAACCCTGGGGGTGAGTTCTGTTCACTCGGGCTGATTGTCCAGCTTATCATCTCCAACCCCTGCAGGAGCGGCTTGTGTACAGCCCCCCCAAATGAAAGCCCCCTGTTTGTAGGTACACAGTCCTTGGTGGTCTCTGAGCTTGGTTGTTTTCTTACAGGTTTCATGACCCAATTGGGGAACATCATCAGTACGAGAAGGGAGGGGAGCAGGAGGAGGAGAACTGGGGGGTCCTTGGTGCCCTCTGAGCTTGGTTGTTTTCTTGCAGACATTTCATGACCCAGCTAGGTAACCCTGTCAGTGCAAGGAGGAGGAGGACTGTGGGGTTCTTGGTGCCCTCTGAGCTTGGTTGTTTTCTTGCAGACATTTCATGAACCAACTAGGTAACCTTATCAGTGCGAGGAGGAGGAGGAAGACTGTGGGGTCTTTGGTGCTCTCTGAGCTTGGTTGTTTTCTTGCAGACGTTTCATGACCCAACTAGGTAACATCATCAGTGCAAAAGAATGTGGGGTTTGCCTGCTGTTTTTATAAAGTGGCTTACTCTGCCGTTGTTGGTGGTTTTGTGTGCTTCTCTCCTTGGTAGGAGGAAACCAAGAGTTTTGGTAGGAAAAAAACCAAATTTCCTCTTGGTGGGAGAAAGCCATACCCAGTAGCCCCGATGACGTAACCTAGTTCGGTCATGAAACATCTGCAAGAAAACAACCAAGCTCGGAGAGCAGTCCACAAAGCGATACCCAGTAGGCAAAATCTGAACTTCCAGATGTTCAGTCATTTTCTTAACCACTTTGCCACGTTCTTTCATCGAAAGGGTGAGCTAGTGATAGGGGAGGGGATAAGGGGGGACCAGGTTTTAGTTTAGTCACAAAGTCCCATCCGTTTCTGGCTTCCCCCGAGCATCCAGGTTCTCCCTCTATTCTCAAAACTTAAAATACGACGTGGTGTCTGTGTGTATGTGTTGCTTCTAGGCCACTCAGTTAACAGAAAGGCCCGCCTGCGTCAAGAAAGATTACTCCAACTTCATGGCGTCCCTGAACCTGCGCAATCGCTACGCTGGAGAAGTGAGTAGCAGAGCTCGTCAAGAGTTCCACCCTTCTTTTAAAAGAAGAAATTTTCCCATTCTCAGTTTTGCATGCCACATGGGTGTGTGTTTTAAAGGGGACTAGCTTTGGGTACACAAATCTCCAAGCAAACCCATTGGAGAAAGCGTGCGCAGTGCTTTCTACTTTCTGGCTTTCCGATCCGGCATATAGTTCTGAGATATTTGTTTATTTATTTTTTTTAGCGTATGGCATAACAGACACGGACTCAGAACATGTATTAGCACTTCACCTAAATTAAAAACACAGTCAAATATGAATGTTAAAAAGATCCAAATTCAGATATCAAATGTCTAGACCAGCTAATCGTTAAAGCGCAAGCTCCATTTATCTGAAAAAAAGTCAGATACCGCTCTGGAATATGCCCTCAGCTTAACAGCCAGTCGTGATGTGATCCACAGATCTGATATATCATTCGTATGCTAATTTAATTTAATTTGGTGCAATCTCAAAACAACCGCAGCGCCCCTTTGAACACCGTCGGCATTGACGAAATCCCCATCGGTCAATTGCAAAAGGCAGCTTCAAAGCTGACATCCGGTGACGATACCTCTGACCCCATCAAACATCCCGATCTGCCTACGGAAAGGACTCAACAGCAGATAAAAATTGCAACTCCAGCCTAACCATCTGGATGATTATGACAATGACTATTATAATAAATGTTGAATATAAATAAATAAGTGACTTCCCTGGTTTTTTTTTTTTTCTAAACAGGTTTCAGGGATGATCCAATACTGCAGCGCCACAGGCCGAGCCTCGGACCTGAATAAACTCATGATCAAGCAACTCAGCAACGCCCTGGAAGCCAGCCAAGCAGAGAATTATAGCCAGGCCATGTTTAAAATGACCGCTTTACTGATAAGCAGCAGAGGTAATAATGAAAAAAAAAATCTTAATGGGTTTATACAGGCGTTCCTTGACTTTCCACTACAATGGAGCCCAACATTTCCCTTGCTAAACGGAATTTTTACAAGTAACTCCAGGCAACAAAGATAGCTAACCAGACCTTCTTCACAACTACAACCCTGTGACAGAGAGATTGGCTCAAGGTCTCCTAACTGGCTTTCACGACCAAGGCTGTGAGAGGGATCTTGGAGTCCTAGTGGACAATCACTTAGATAGGAGCCAGCCGTGTTCTGCAGCTGCCAAAAAAGCCAACACAGTGCTAGGCTGCATTAACAGAGGGAGAGAATCGAGATCATGTGTGGTGTTACCACTTTACAAAGCCTTGGTAAGGCCACACTTGGAATACTGCATCCAGTTTGGGTCACCACGATGTAAAAAATATGTTGAGACTCTAGAAAGAGTGCAGAGAAGAGCAACAAAGATGATTAGAGGTCTGGAGGCTAAAACATATAAAAAACGGTTGCTGGAATTGGGAATGTCTAGTTTAAATGTCTTTGTAAATTTTTCAGACACTGATTGCCAGCTCCTACATCACCTTTGCTGGGGCCCTCTGCGTATGTTCAACGAGGTGGTCATGCAGACTGCCCTCGCTTGCTGGGAGTGGCTGCTGGCTGCTAAGAACGGCATAGAAGTCCCCGTAAGCGATAAGTTAATTTTAAGTTCCGTTCTTTCTGAAATGGTGTTTCTGTGACAAGCAATACATTTAGCAAACGTCCCCAGAATTAGTGAACGAGTTTCTTAACGTGGGCTTGGTTTATTGCTTTTACATCGTAGAATGATATTCGCTGTTTCTCCCTCCTACCCTGCATTTATGTTTATATTGATACGTATTTATATATAGTTATTTGTCTCCCGCTTTTATTATTTTTACAAATGACTGCGAACATAGCTAGTACTTCGTCTTCCTCCTATTTTCCCCAGAACAACAACTCTGTGAGGTGGGATTGGCTGAAAGAGGGGGAACGGCCCAAAATCAACCCATCAGTTTTATGTCTAAGGAGGAACTAGAACTCGCCGTCTCCTGGCGATTGGCCCAAAGTCACCCAGTCGGCTTTCATGCCTAAGGCGGGACTAGAACTCACCGTCTCCTGGGGATTGGCCCAGAGTCACCCAGTTGGCTTTCATGCCTAAGGCAAGACTAGAACTCACTGTCTCTTAGTGATTGGCTCAAAGTCACTCAGCTGGCTTTCATGCCTAATCCTGGATTTGAATTCACGTCTCCTGGTTTCTAGCCCGGTACTTTAACCTCTAGACCAAGCTGGCTCTTCTCAGTGTATTTATAATAAGCTTAAAGTCCGCTGCCTAAAAAAGTAGCACTGATTTTGCTTCCCTTAGTTCATGAGAGAGATGGCTGGGGCTTGGCAAATGACCGTGGAGCAGAAATTTGGCCTGTTCTCCACCGAGCAGAAAGAAGCCGATCCTTTAGCTGCCTCCGAAGAAAGCCAACCTAAGCCGTGTCCACCAGAGGTCACCCCGCATTACATCTGGATAGAAGCAAGTATTCTTCTCCTCCTCCCTTTAAGAAGCCAGGTTTTGTTTTTTTTTCCCCTCAGCTTGTGGCAAACATTGGCTTGTTGGACAGACAGATGTCTAACCTTTGGTTTCCTCTCCACAGTTCTTGGTGCAGAGATTTGAAATCGCCAAGTACTGCAGTTCTGACCAAGTGGAGATTTTTGCCAGCTTACTCCAGAGGTCCCTGTCTCTGAATATCGGCGGATCAAAGGGTAGCATGAATTGCCACGTGGCAGCCATCGGACCCCGTTTTAAGTAAGCAAGACCCCCCAGGATTTATTTTTTTCAGAGATGGGAGCAAGCATGAAGAAGATCAAAGGTAGTTTAGTTTTGAGCTTACCTGCCAGCTTCGCACAGAACTGATTTTCCCAGGTACTCACACTTGTGCCCTGTTCATTTTTTTTTTAAAGAAAATATAACATCTGCTATATTTATTCATACTGTGTGACTTCACTGTTTTTCCAAGGAGATTGAAAGGAGGCTCTGGATATTCTCCCCTTGTTCTTTTTGCTCATAAAAAAACAACAACAACGGGGTGGGCTCAGGATGCAACGTCATTTGTCGTTCTGCCATTTCACTTGATATTGTACACATGTCTTCCTTCCTATTTAACCCTTTTGAGCCTACTGCCTAAAGATCCTGATGGAATTCTTTTGGACTCTTTCAGGCTCTTAACACTGGGGCTGTCTCTGCTTCATGCTGATGTCATCCCAAATGCAACGATTCGCAATGTCTTGAGAGAGAAGATCTATTCCACGGCTTTTGATTACTTCAGGTATTGCCCTTCTTTTTTTTTTTCTTCTTCTTCTTCTTCTTCTTCTTCTTCTTCTTCTTCTTCTTCTTCTTCTTCTTCTTCTTCTTCTTCTTCTTCTTCTTCTTCTTCTTCTTCTTCTTCTTCTTCTTCTTCTTCCTTCGTCTTTTCCTCCTCCTCCTCTTCTTCCTCCTCCTCTTCTTCTCCTTCTCTTTTTCTTCTCCTCCTCCTCCTCCTCCTCCTCCTCCTCCTCCTCCCTTAGAAGATTTGCAACTCTAGCTGGAAGTTCTATTTGTATGGCCATCCAATTCAACCAAGATGAGTTTGGCCGATTGGAAAAAATAAACAAAGCAACAGAACCTAACAAAAATGCAGAGAACCTACAAACAAACATGAAACCATAAAAGGGCGTCCCAAATAGTAATAGCACCCTTGATTACAAACACATAAAATCTTCTGGTTACAGAGATCAGGTGAGGAAGAAGCAGGGGAGCCCCAAAGCTGGTTCACAGAACACCAAGAGACGATGATGTGTTTTCTTGCCAAAATGTTTGTCCTATCATAAGTGTTTTTGCCCTCCATTGAAGCTCTGCACCCAAGTGTCCAACCCAAGGAGAGAAGAGGCTGCGTGAGGACATCATCATCCTCATCAAGTTTTGGACAGCCATGTTCTCCGACAAGAAATATTTAACTGCCAACCAGCTTGTGCCTCCAGGTATGTGTTTCATAGGTTCTGGTAGGAGAAGAGCAGGCAGAGCCAGGTGAGCGGAGTTAAGCGAGTCATCAGCCTAGAATCGTTACGTTCCCACAAATGGTCTAAGTCCAAGCCCTCCTGAATTTGTTTGACCCTAGTTGTTTTAAACATTCAGTCGTGCCCAACTCTTGCCGACTTTATAGGCAAGAGCTCTCCATACAGAATAGAATGGAATGGAATAGAATAAGAACAGAATAGAATAGAATAGAATAGAATAGGAGAGAATAGGAGAGAATAGGAGAGAATAGGAGAGAATAGAATCTTTATTGTCACACTAACCAGCGTACATTAAAACAAAATTTTGTCGCATTCATCTCTCTCTCTCTCTCTGTCTCTAGCTTTTCATTCTTCTTCTTTGATTGCCTGGCTTTGATGCCAAAGGGATGTTTTCTTTACCTTTAGATAACCAAGACACCCGGAGCAATCTTGACGTCACGATGGGCTCCCGACAGCAAGCCACCCAGGGATGGATCAACACCTATCCTTTGTCCAGCGGCATGTCGACCATCTCCAAAAAATCAGGTGTGTCTTGCTTTACCTTACGTACCGCTAAACTCCCCCTCCCGTTTAATCCTCACAACTAAATTTAGTCGCTTGCTCTCCCAAGTGACCACATACATAATACACATTTAAACATGCTATATGTTTAAATGCTAAGGGTGTATAGACCTACACCCTTAGCTATAAGCAACATATAAATATTCATCACTGTCCACCTTGAATACATAATGGAAGGAGGAAGCTTGAGAGTTCACCAGGTTAACACTGTATTCCTGCAAGCCGCCTGGAGGAGACCCACTGGGAGGTAAAGCATCAAATCTATTTAACCAATAAATAAACTCCATCCAGTTTTGGTCACCACGATGTAAAAAAGATGAGACTCTAGAAAGAGTACAGAGAAGAACAACAAAGATGATTAGGGAACTGGAGGCTAAAACATATAAGGAACGGTTGCTGGAATTGGGTATGTCTAGTTTAATGAAGAGAAGGACCAGGGGGGACAGGATGGCAGTGTTCCAATATCTCAGGGGCTGCCCCAAAGAAGAGGGAGTCAAGCTCTTCTCCAAGGCGCCTGAAGGCAGGACAAGAAGCAACGGATGGAAACTAATCAAGGAGAGAAGCAACCTAGAACTAAGGAGAAACCTCCTGACAGTTAGAGCAATTAACCAGTGGAACAACCTGCCTCCAGAAGCGGTGAATGCTCCAACACTGGAGGTTTTTAAGAAGAGACTGGACAGCCATTTGTCTGAAATGGTATAGGGTTTCCTGCCTGAGCAGGGGTTGGACTAGAAGACCAGAATTATTATTAAATAAACGTTCTGTGTTGTCTTTCAAAGGAATGTCCAAGAAGACCAATCGGGGCACTCAGCTCCACAAATACTACATGAAAAGGAGAACTCTGCTGCTCTCACTTCTGGTAAGTCTCTTCTCCTAAACCAAGCCCAGACCCAGTTGCTTGTGATTAGCAAAGCCTTGATTTTACAGGCTACAGGTAGTCCTCGTCTTACAACAGTCCATTTAGTGACCGTTGAAAGTGACAACGGCTCTGAAAGAAGGGACCCAAGACCCTTTTTCACATAACGACCGTTGCCACATTCCCCAGGGTCACCGGATCGAAATTCAAGATGCTTGGCAACTGACTCGCATTTATGACGGTTGCAGCATCCAGGGTCATGTGATTCCCTCCCTTTTGTGACCTTCTAACCAGCGAAGTCAATTGGGGAAGCCGGGTTAACTTAGCAACCACTTTACTAATTTAAGAAATGCAGTGATTCACTTAAGAATTGGGGCAAGAAAAGTTGTTAAAATGGGGCAAAACTCACTTAGCGACATAAATTTGAGGCTCAGTTGTGGTCGTAACTTGAGGACTACCTGTAATTGAGAGGAAGGGGAGACTGTTAAATGACAATGTATGTACTTGATGTAATTTATATCTCTTCTTTCTTTCCTTCCCTCCTTCCTTCCTTTCATTCTTTCTTTCTCTCTCTCTCTTCCTTCCTTTTTTTCCTCTCACTCTCTTTTGTTCTTCCTTCCTTCCTTCCTTCCTTCCATCCTCTCTCTATTTCTTTCTTTCTTTCTTTCTTCCATCCTCTTTCTCTCTCTCTCTCTCTCTCTCTCTCTCTCTTTTTGTTCTTCCTTCCTTCCTTCCTTCCATCCATCCATCCTCTCTCTTTCTCTTTCTCTTTCTCTTTCTCTTTCTCTTTCTCTTTCTCTTTCTCTTTCTCTTTCTCTTTCTCTTTCTTTCTTAGGCTACGGAGATTGAGCGCCTCATCACTTGGTATAATCCCCTTTCGTCTCCGGAACTGGAGCTGGACCAGACCGGAGAGAACAGTGTTGCAAACTGGCGGTCCAAATACATCAGTCTGAGTGAGAAGCAGTGGAAGGACAATGTGAACCTGGCGTGGAGCATCTCCCCTCACCTCGCGGTGCAGCTTCCCACCAGGTGGATCCCTTGCTCTTCGTTGCAAAATTAGTAACTTTAGCCAATTGGTAACTTTAGCCAATTAGTAACTTTAGCTTCCGGTAGTCCTTGACGTACGACCACAACAGAACCCAAAAACTCTGTTGCTAAGCAAGACAGTCATTCAGTGAGCTTTGCCCCATTTTACGAACTTCCTTGCCTCAGTTGTTAAGCAAATCACCGCAGTTGTTAAGTTAGAAATACGGTTCTTAAGTGAATCACCACAGTTGTTAAGTTAGAAATACGGTCGTTAAGTGAATCTGGCTCCCCCATTGACTTTGCTTGTCAGAAGGTCGCGAAAGGGAGTCGTGTGACCCCAGGGGACACGGCAACTGTCATAAATCCAAGTCAGTTGCCAAGCACCTGAATCTTGATCACATGATCATAGGGATACGGCAATAGTCATGAGTGAGAAAAATGATCTTAAGTCCCTTTTTTCAGTGCCACTGTAGCTTTGAACGGTCATTAAACGAACCGTTATAAGTCGAGGACTACCTGTAGCTATTAACCCACAGGTCCTAAGTTGAGAACTACCAGTTTGTCCCCTGTTGGTTTCCTAGATTTAAAAACACAGAAGCAATTGGGATGGAGGTCACCCGTCTGGTTCGCTTGGACCCCGGAGCCGTGAGCGATGTGCCGGAAGCCATCAAGGTAGGCACTTGCAGATGATCCAGCTGTTGATCAGAACATCGATTCTGGGAATTGTTTCCAGAGATAAAATGATCGGTTTGGTTTGACTTCAGTTAACCACAGTGGGTGGGACCACTCATTGCGGCTTGTAAATCAGAATATATGGCTCACTTGTTAAATCTGCCCCAGGATTTCAAGATATCCGGATGAACAAGAAACTTTATGACTTTATACAGCCCCCATGGGAAACATTTCCCTTTTTTT